TGGGGTCCAAATATTCGGTACTTAGGGCCTTGAACAGTTTTTGTTGGATTTATTGTTTTTTTTTTTATAAGGGGCATGAAGCGCATTATGGACTTGTAAAGAAAGTGGGATCCCTCTCAGAAACGACCTCGTAACCATTTATTGAATATTTAAGTTTTACCATTAATACAGAATTTTCTAGATATAAAATTAAAATTTAGTAGAGTTTTACTAGTAAAGCTTATGTGTCTTGCAAACAGCCTCTGAAATACCTAAGCTGAAGGGTTACATGGGTTTCCTAGTCTGAAACAGTCTTTTTCAACTTTTTTTTATGAAATAATTTATTGGTTTTTTTTATTGCTGAAAACATTTATATTAACACAAAATTCTGAAATTTTTGGAAAAAAAATATTTCAAACTCGATCATTGTGACCCCGTTTCCGGTGACCCTTCGGAAAATCATTGACAGGATAATTCCTTACAAGATCTTACACAGTTAGATATAAAGGTTTTAGTTAAAACTTTAACTACAAACTTGGACGAAGAAAAAAACTGAAAATTGGATTTTTGGCAGACATTTTTACAAAAAAACCGAAAAAAGATCCTTCATTGAAATCTTTAGTARTTGTATCTAAAACTCCTGTGTAAAATTTCATGAAAATCGGTTTGTTATTATATTTAGTTCTMGAGAAACTTCAAAAAYACAGTTTCGRAAAATTGCGTYTAAAGACGGCTCAGATCAACTTGAAAATTTAGGACAATCTTCTTGAGCTGGTAGAATTTATTAAGRAAAAAAAATCGATATTTTGAAACCCGTAAACCCATGAAATCTCTTAAAAGTTTCAAATATGCGCAATTTTGGTGTAAAATTAAAGAAATGTTAAATTTTATTAGCCACTACTGTGCTTGCCTCACCGTATGCTGCATTAATTTGTAAATATTTGCATGTATTCATATTTTCAATACAATTTTTCCTCATCAATAAGCACTTAAGGCATTAATTTGATGTGTTAGCATTGTAAAAGCAGCGAGTGGGTCAATATTCTGAAACCGCTGCTCATATTGAACTYAAGGAAGTAAGAATTTCGGTCCGTCAGACGTTCCCCAATATTCTCAAAACCGATATTATATTATGAGTCTATAACTAATCATATTTGCTTTTGTTTTTGAATTAAACGTATAAAATTGTATTATTCAAAGATTAACATTACCCATTTTTCTAGAAGACTTTGGCAGGCAAGAATGAACCAAGTCAATTTCTGATATCCTGTATTACASCGAGATCGTTCTGAAATGATAGTCAGAAGGGGCAGTGTCTGGGTTCTCCACACTAATCGAATATGAAAAAAYGACTGCAGGCAACCGTAGGCAAAATACGACAMATTTWGTGGAGCGATTGGTGTCTYSGAGKTCGTGCTGTTCGCATCATATATCGTGGCTTCTTTATGGTCTGTGCCACTTACTAAGACGCTATATGATGGATAGCAACCACAATAGTTTTGGGGTACCAAAAACTTTCTCAATACAACGCTGTATGTTGCTTGCCTGTATGTCGTACCGCCTCAACGAATGATATGCAGGTTTTTTATGACAATCCGGTCAATAAGGGGCTTGAGTGTGTTATTGCTGCGGAATGACTATATTTCCGATGATGATGTAGAGACTGAAGGATATCTAGGGAGCAGGAGACTTCTAGATGGTCAGGTGTAGGTGGCAAGACTGCTAAGACAATAGTCCTAACGGTGGTGTGACTTATGAGTTCATACGTGACGTTGTATTTGTTGAGCGTAGTCCAGACTTCAGATTTTGTCTGATTCTGGGTWTTCTGCTTACGGCGCATGCATTTTTGCATCAGAGGCACCTATCTTATAGGTCGGGTTCTGTTTGCATGGCGGGGATAGAATACTGGGTGCATGTACTCCGACATTAGGGATCTGGGTGGTATGGGGATTAGCTGGACTGATGGRCCTTTAGATKTTAGCGGTGTRATCTCYACTAATYGKAAYACCGAACAGTTAGAAACGTTTGGGCGTGAATTGTTCAGGCAGCGAAGACATTTAACTGAGAATTAAGGTTAGTTCCATATGTGAGTGATGTGTGCGTRTAATGTGCGTATGGGTCCAATCCCTGGTCACCAGTACAAAGCAGCGTGTAACCTCAATTGGTAGTAGTTCCGGCTACAAGATCTGACCGGAAACTTAATTCTGATACCATGGAGAGCAGGTGCCCTTGGACTACGCTCCAACCTACTCATGCGAACTGACAGTTGAATGTGGAGTTCTGGATCCAAAGGACCGCAGAGGTTTTTTAGTTGGGCCTCGTACCCCATCCAGGTGGTTAGTGTGCCACTTGTTCTCATCCTTTGAATACTCATTTGATATTTCGTAGTAAGTTTCTCAGCAGTTGTAAACCCGAGTTCCCAACATATTACGATTTTGAAATCTTAYTAAAGTTTGGATCTTCTGTTTCAAYAGAGSACGGAYTGATCTCAATGAAAGAAATAAACATTTTGGGGTTSTGTTGAACAAGTTTCTAAGATGTTTTTGTGGATTTGTGAATCGTTCTTATCGATTTAATATTGGAAGAGTTTCTTGGTTAATTATGACAAGATTTCAGATTGACTTTACTTCAACCTCCAAATTTAGCAAATTCAGGAGCTTCAGTATGTTTGTTGAAAGTAATTAAATTTTTCGCTGACATTTTTGCACTTCACTGTTGAAGTTTGATGTCCTGATGTGGCAAAAAAATTAATGCGAACTCGTGTGCCAAGTTTATGCAACACGTCGCTCTGACCGCCAAACGAGCAGTCACGTTATGTGGCGAAGCAACAAAAGCTAAAACTACTTACACTTGCGGACTGACAATGAATAAACGAAAAAGGGGCGCGCCGACGCTTCAACTATTTTTTCGTGTTGTTTTTCTGCGCTGCCCAGCTGTGCGCTCGTTTGTCATTTTACTTTTTAAGAATGAGCTCCAGCAACCTGTCGAGCGTGTTGCCACTTGCCACTTGCCACTTCTACTCCCCGCTGGCATGTTATGCAGCTTGTTGTGGTTGTTGTTGACTCAACTATAATTAAAAGTGTGCCAATGTTTATTTCCGCAAATTAGTTTTGTTAATTAAATGGCGGCACATATACACACTCTGAAATACATAGATATGCAACCACATGGCACTGACCATGGCAACGCCGCAGCCCTTCTGCTTTAGACCATCACCACTTGTTTGCTGTTAGACTGTTTTATGCCACATTTGCTTGCTGATTTGCTCGGTGGGTGTGCTCTCCTTTTATGCTGCCGAGTTGACTGCTGTCCATGCCGCAACATTCCGCTAAGTGGCACGTACAATGAATTGTTGTATTTGTGGCCGTTCGTGCCACACATGGCCTTTTCCCATTGTTTTCGAAACGCCATTGTCTCACTTTTCTTACTTTCCGCCCATTTCACTTGCCCCGGAAAGGTTAAGTAGTGTATAAAGTGTGTCAGTTTTATGAGAAAGCCACTCAGCGTAAAGTAAGTGACGTGTGGAATGCACCATTTGTTTCAACTTTTATGTTGGTGCTTTCTTTTCTGCCTATTATTGTTTGCTTCCTTGTTATTTTTTACGCATATTTTGAGGGTTTTTAAGGGTATATAGTCCCAGTCTTATATATCTTTGAAGGATGTGCTATATTTGTGGTAATTTTTGATAGAATGGGTTTGATAAATTGAGAATCCAAGGCTAGAAGGACACAATTTTAATCACATTTCCCCCGAAATCTTGCGCGAAATCTGTTGTAAATAGTTTCTTGAAGTTCCAGTTTTGGTTAGGCTAAAGTAAAAAGGCCTAAAGAGAATCTCTAGAACGACGGTCTTATAAGACCCTTACGACCCTTATAGATCGAGAAAACACTTTGAGCTTATCACAAATTTAGTAAGTTTGCCACGATGTCGAAGTTCAAGAAAAAATTAACTCTTTCATAAAAGAATTTTTCATTCCGCAGTTCATCCTTAAACTAATTTCGTATCAAACCTCAGTAAATCCGTCTACTTTGCCGATCTATAGCTTACTAGCGCCTCTAGTCTCTATCAGCAACATCAACGTATTCTCAAAACGCCCGCAAACTACTTTAAGTTTTTGTCTTTCCTTTCAAATACCGACGTACTCGCTCGTTAGTTTTCAACTATTTTATATAAATAAATATTTTCTAAAACATAATTTTTTGCATTTTTTATTTATTTTCTCTTATTTTAATTCACAGCTGAATCTATGTGTGTGAAGAACACTGGCTGGTGATGCCGCTAAGACAACAGCAATTAATAGCCAGCGTAGGTATATTAACCTCGATAGTAACATAGTTGAATCTTCCACAAAATGGCAGTAAGCTATGCCTGTCTCGCGGTGCAATATGTGGTGGTGCCGACGGTGCTGGTGTTGGGTAAGTGTTTCAACACATTTTACACTCGTTTATGGCTATATTAAGTTGACAAGTTAATGCCATGAAAGCAATTTATTGATTTAACTTATTTTGTTTTGAAATTTGCGGTTGTTTGCTTATATAGTGCCTAAAAGTAGACTATAATTCAGATAAAATAGCTAAAGCATAGTTTCAGGCTTTTAGAATGGCAAATGGCACATTATTCAAACTTTGTTATTTAATATGAAGGTTTATTTTCAATTATGTAATTGTAGTCTACTTTTAGGCGTAAGTTTAAAATACTCGTATCTGAGCACTTGTAATTGTGTAAAGTGAGCCAATCCACGGTTTTCAGTTATAAGGYTTAGTATTTACTTTTCTGCAATTTTTTTGCGTAGCATAGTTTCATGCTCATACAAAATTGCACCAGCTKTACTGACTATATTTTTAAGTAATGTAAAAGGCTGAAATTGAGCGTAGCTTTAGTCTTCTCTAATTTTTCTATAAACACAAACAAGTTGAGGTATAGTTTTAGGCTAAAACTGTGCTTTTTACTGCCACTTTATGTAAAAATGTTACGTATTATAAAGTAATCTGTACCAGTGACAAACATTTAAGTAATGAAAAGATGTTGTCTGCTTTTAGGCTGTCTAACTTCGTTTTACTTTTTTATTTCTCATCTTATAATTTTAACTCAATTTTAGTAACAATTTTCTTCTCTTCTTCCAGCTGCACTATTTCGTCCTGCCGGTATTTCGTTCGTGTACCTGTTAATGTTTTTTATAACGCCCTTTATCCCCATCGCCAACAGTCGTAATTTCAAAAGTTCTGTTGGACCATTTTACATCATACTCATCGCGCTATGTTCACTACTATTATTATGTCATATAGTRCTGCAAGTGACAATAATTGCAATGAAGATCGAGTCGATCTTTGCTATGTGTTCATTTACGCAACAGCTGTTGCGTCACATCGGCTTCATCAATCTGCAGGACTTGCAGTAAGTCAATGACAAAAACTTATATTAATTTTTTTTTTTTTAATTTTAAAAATTGTTTTTTGTTGTGAATATCAATATACATATATTGTTATTAATGCAAAATTATTTGTGTATTTACGTAGTCCGATTGCTGCCGCCGAATGGCATATGCCAGATGTGCTGGTKTTCATCACAGTGGTGATTTCATTTATAGTCATAAAGAAATTGAGCCAGAAACCACCGCCGATCACATTGCAATTAGAAACTGGTGAAATTATCCCAATACGCAATTCAACGGATAGCGACAACACGGACGATGAAGCCTTCTTCGATGGTCTAATAAGAATATGTAAGTGAATTGGTAGATTTGAATTGCATTTTTTTGTTTTGAATAATGAAAAATAAATTTTCTTTTAATAATAATAAAACT